CCGCCGCACCCCCCGCGCCCCGGCTTCTGCCCCCAGAAGGCAGCAGCTGCTGCAGCTGGAGAGGAGTGGAGCCCAGCTCCTCCCCACCCAGCATGCAGGCGGAGCCCAGCTCCTCCCATGCAGGTGGCAGAGCTGAAGCAAAGCCTGAGGTGGGGGGGAGGATGTGGGCTGCCTGCTGCAGGCCTGGGGCTCCCTGCCCTACTACCTTTCCCCTGGGGGGCTCCACAGCCCAGCAGGCAGGACCTGGAGTGGGAAGGAGCACTGCACCACCATGGCCATCAAACTGAGGCGCCCCCTCCCTGCCCAGCAGCAGCAGGAGTACAACCCTGTGCTGCTGCCGCTGCTACACCACATGGTGGCCTTTGGTGGCCATGGTGGTGCGGCACTCCCTCCTGTGCTGGGTCCCACCCACTGGGCTGGGCTCCTGCCCAGAGCTGGTCTGGCCCGGCTGCAGCCCCATGCCCTGCTGTGGGCACAGAAATTTCAGGGGGCAAGTCCCCACTCTGCTGCATTGCCTTGCTCCCGACCTTCTTCCACTGCATCGCCTGTGCTCCCCCACCCATCAATGCATTACCTGTGCCCCCTCCTCTCCGCCCCCATAGACTTCCCTGGAAGGAACTGCAGAAGCTGCTCTCCACTGCTGCTTGGCTGCTACATGCATGTACATGTACACATGCATGTGGCACCCCCAGCCTCCGTTTGCCCTCCCCTTAGCCCCAAGAAGTCCTTTGCAGGCTGGAACTCTACAAGCCTGCAAGGGGAAACCTGTCCCTCTGTTTTTCTCCTTTAAAGAAGAAAATCTGTATTTCTCCACAGTGAATGGAAAACCCAGATCCCTATTTATCACAACCCCATCCACTGATGTTGCAACCCTATTTGGAGTCACAACCTGCAATTCTTGGCTAGTAGGTCCTGCACTTCCACTCACGGTCAAACTGATCACCATACTTGGGGTCTGAAAGAAATTTTACTCCATAGTCAGTGTGACAGGCCCCTCCTGACTCACCTTGGCATTGCAACCCAGTTGGTTGCGCTACAGTCAAGCCAGCCATCACCATGCCAAACAAGAGAGCTCCACCGAATGGCCCAGGGCCCAGAGGCAACAGGTTAAAAGCAGGCCTGGAGACAGAGGCTAGCGAGGAGCACACCAGAGCACTGAAACAAATCCAAATACTCTCCCCGCTACTGGAAGAGACTCAGTGCCCAGAAAAGTGGCTCATACCTGTCCTGCCGCCATGATGTCCAGGAAAAACCCAGATGCTCACCTCACTGCTGGAAGATGACCGGCTGCTTTCCCCAAGGCCAAAACACCCAGGAAAGTGGTGGATGCTTTCCTTACTGGTGGAGCACTAGGGACCCAGCTGGATGCCAGCCCTCCCAATGTGGTCAGTAAACAGCTCAGCACAGACACAATGGGATTCCGCCATATGCATGGAGGACTGCGCAGAAGCACACAGGTCAGGTGGGACTGGGAGATGGCATCCCAGTTGGACAGAAGGGAGACAGCCAGGGAAGAAGCCCAGGTAGAGGGCCCCCCAACAATGTGTGCCCAGCTGGTACGCCTGTAGGTTTGGAGCGTGCCAGCAGGAGACTGGTGGAAAAGTGAGCCTCATGCAGGCACGGCAGTGACCACCATGAGGCAATGCTATATCTGGCCCAGAGCCAGGATGGGAAGTACCCATGCAAGAAGGGCTACCTGCCAGGAGACATAGGGGGCCCAAAGTTGCATGAGTAAGGGGTACACCAGGCACCGAATCAACCCACACCCAAGTAGAGGATTGCTTGGCGTAAAGGCATTGTTTCCCTGGACTCTCAGGGAACCACTGATCATCACCTCCAGGCAAGTGAAAGTATATCCTGCATAAACAACAAGTCATGGCAGGTGAATAAGCCCAGGTGCAACGTGACCCATGGGGGTGGAACATGCCCTTGGGCCCATTGGCAACTGTGTAAGGTATGACCCTGTCCTAGTCAGATTGGTACAGATTGTGGGTGTTTTGGCCTTCCTCTGTAGGTATGGCTGCCCTCTTTGGATCTTTCAAACATATTTTAACAACTTTTGCAGCAGCAAGATACTGGCCACCCTTGTTCCCCTGCTTTATCTGTGGTAGATTAGGGTGTTATGCTATGTGGTTGTATTGGGGTTGACTGTAGTTTTACTAATAGGTTAGACAACAGATTTGCATAGGATGGTTTGGATAGGGGTGTTCCTGCCTCTGGAGAGGGCACTGGACTAGATGACCTCTGAAGGTCCATTCTAGTCCTACTTTTCTATGAATCTATGATTCACTGCCAGAACAGCATGAAGATTCATAGATTCATAGATGTTAGGGTTGGAAGGGACCTCAATAGATCATCGAGTCCGACCCCCTGCATAGGCAGCAAAGAGTGCTGGGTCTAGATGACCCCAGC